AGTTTACGCGCAACCTTACTTTTGAGCAGTCTACCGAATGAACACGGTGTACGTCGGAAAATATTAAACGACTTTCAAAACCCTCCGCTGTTATTGAGATAAGCGATACTGTAATACTATAATACCTCATTATGGTACTTTAAAGCTCTCTTTCATTTCTTTCATTTTGGGATTTCCAATTTCTGTGCTGTTCGCAGCGAAGCTAATGCTCAGATATTATCTCAGTCTTCTGAGTCAACAATCATACAAATGGTTAATACAAGACCTCCATTAGCGACTTTGTACATTTCAATTAGTTTCATCTTACTCTCTCTAGCTTCTCACTTCAGCATACAAGAAGATAGATGATTCTTTTCAGATACTGCATAGCGATGTTAAGATTACTTCTATCACTACTGTTAGTCATCAGAGCCCAATCAATGGTGGATCATGAAGAACGTGAAATTATCCTTACCGCACATGGAATGAGCGTAGACGATGTAGAAAATCGTGTTGTTATTCCAAGTGAGTATAGTTTCATTCAGGTTATAATTTATAATTGTTGTATTTATGAGGGCAAATTGGCTCATCAAACTAGCAGGTTTTGTTCAGTACAAGACGGGCGCATACCTCCTTTACCTTGCGTGATGGCAAATGCCGGCACGCATCAACATGGCGAGACCTTCACCAAAAATAATTTTCACTACCAATGTAAAAATGGGACTGCTGAAGTAGTAGGTAGTGTTGAATTACTTATCAATGATTTAATCACTCTCTAATTTGTTTTCTTTTATAGCCTGTATAGCCGACGATCAGTCTGTAATCCAGTTAGGCAGAATTTTTGTAAGAAATGGAATGAAACACAAATGCAGCGTAGTTGGAGATTCAGTCACTTATGAACAAGGTCAAAATTACATGTACAGATGAAACCCTTGAAATATGCAGAGTTCTCTCACACTCATGCCATTCACTATTGCTTTTTGTTATAGAATCAATGTGCTTCGACAATGGTATCCACTATTCCATTGGAGATACGTTCCGAAACGGCTCGTTTAGATTAACGTGTGGTCAGGATGGAATCATCATAGAAGGTGATAGAACTTTTTAAAATAAGTCGCTCGCACGGAAAAAA